ACGCAAAGCAATGATTGGGCTATGAGGCAATCCGAGTCCAGAAAATGTAGAGGTGTGTGAACCTGGCCGAAGGCATTGACTGCCTTGAGCAAGGGGAATGTGCGCTACCACCGCAGGAGCCCATGATTGTGCGGTCGGCTGGAGGAGAGGCCACCATGACTCTCAGGTCCATTTGGGTACTATCAGCGTGAGTTCCGCTTGCGTGCGTTCCGCGTGCCAGAGTGTGGCTGGGATCAGGTGTGGTGGCGGAAAAGCAAAGCATCGTTCACCCTTCCAAGAGACGGAGAATGCATCTATGGCAAACGCGCTTGGGTGTGGTAGCTTGGAACAGAAGCGCTGGACCTGGTTGTTACGAGTGTTTGCAAAGAGGTCAATCATGTGGGGACCCCAGCGGCGCTCCAAGAGGCGAAACCATGGTGCATGCAAGGAGTAGTCATTGTGGTCTTGCAACTTGGACAGTTCGTCCGCGTGAGCATTGAGCTCTCTTGGAATCCATTCAATTGCGAGGTGTGTGGCGTTGCCGAGGCAGAACAGGATGATTGCTTGGCACGTCAATGTCAGTTCCGAGTGGCGAGATCCCCCCTTGCGCAATATGAACATGACTACCTGGTTGTCCACCCTGACGAGAACGTGAGCACCCGCGATCTGGGTTGCAAATGTCTACAACACCCATAGCACTCCCTCGAGCTCGCGCCGCGTGCTGGATGTAGTGAGAAGCTCGCTCGGCATGCATGCGCTGGCTTCACATGACGTGCTTGGAAACTTTGTCAGGGTGGCACCCCTACTGTGTGCGCTCGCGTCAACGTGGATGACGGCATCAAACCGGTGGCTCTGGTGGAATGGGGCCCCATTGAAGTGATCGAAGTGCTCCGTCCAGAAGAGCAACTCCTCCGTCGCTCCCAGTGACAACGGGACCTTCGAGTTCCATGACCACGCGGAGTCGATCAAGCACAGCAACTCGTGACTAAAGGCACGTGCCTTCGTGCTTAGCGCGAGTGACATGGAGCTGAGGAATCCAGTGATCCGAGCTATCTGGCGGATCGGCACTTGCTGGCCTGACTGGCTTTTTGTAATGAGCCGGTGGAGCTCACGCAGTAGTTGCTCACGCCGATCTTCCCCGACGAGAAACATCCCTCGTACAGTATCAAGCTCCATTCCCAAGAAGTGCAATTGGTGCGTGGGATGCAGGTTTGATTTCTTGGCGTTGATCACGAAGCCTGCCGCCTTCAAGTCTCGGAGGACTTCCGTGCACGTTGAACGTGCTTGGATCTCGGAGTTGCAGAGGAAAAGTAAGTCGTCCACATATGGGATCACGCGAACTCCACGCGCGCGCCATCTCTTAGCTAGCTGCTTAATTAACTGGGTGAGGACAAACGGTGCTGTCGCTAGGCCGAAGGGCAGGGAGGTGAAGCAGTAGAATTCTCCCTCAAACTGAAATCCCAAGAACTTCCAGCAGGATGGGTGAATATCAACATGGTGGTAGCCTTACTTCAAATCAATTGTAAATAGCCAGTCGTTTGGGCGGATAATTTCTGCAACCCGGGCTAAGCCTTCGTACTTAAACTTGGGCACTTGAAGGTGGGAGTTGACCTTTCGTAGGTCAAGTATGAGGCGGCATTTGTCCCGTTGCTCCACTACATTGAGCGGGCTGATGCATGCCAATGTGGCCTTTGACAAGACTTTGAATGCGGCACCCAAAGTGATGAGGTCGCGGACAGCACCTTGGGTGAAGGTCATATGTGCTTGCACTCCTGCGTGATTGGGGGCCTCGAAAGGGATGGGCTCCTCGCCCTTCCATGGTAAGCAATACCCTCTGGCAATATCACCCTCCTTCCCCCCGCTGCCCCCCCACTATTGGCCACAAGTCAGCCATAAAACCTCTGTCTAGGTTGTGGCTTGAGTGTATGTGCGGTGTTGTTGTTGTTGTTGGTGTTTTTTTTTTTTTTTTTTTTTTTTTTTTTGGAATCGCCTCACAAAGAGCGTGACGACGCATGTGCCTCACTCTGTCCCATGGCTTCTCCCGCCGTATTTCCTTTAACGGCTGGCCACTTCTCTCTCTCTCTCTCTCTCTCTCTCTCTCTCTCTCTCTCTCTCTCTCTCTCTCTCTCTCTCTCTCTCTCTCTCTCTCTCTCTCTCTCTCTCTCTCTTTCGCTCTCTCTCTCTCTCCCTCTCTCTCTCTCTCTCTCTCTCTCTCTCTCTCTCTCTCTCTCTCTCCCTCCCTCCCTCTCTCTCTCTCATTCTCTCTCTCTCCCTCTCTCTCTCCCTCTCTCTCTCTCTCTCTCTCTCTCTCTCTCTCTCTCTCTCCCTCTCTCTCTGTCTCCCTCTCTCCCTCCCTCTCTCTCTCTCCCTCTCTCTCTCTCTCTCTCTCTCTCTCTCTCTCTCCCTCCCTCTCTCTCTGTCTCCCTCTCTCCCTCCCTCTCTCTCTCTCCCTCTCTCTCTCTCTCTCTCTCTCTCTCTCTCTCTCTCTCTCTCTCTCTCTCTCTCTCTCTCTCTCTCCCTCCCTCTCTCCCTCTCTCTCCCTCTCTCTCTTGCTCTCCCTTTCTCTTTTTCTAACTTCTCCCTCTCCTTGCTTTCTTGTTTCTGCCCTTGCTTCAACTCTCATATTTGGCCTCTCCTCCCTTCCTTATTGCCACCTCTAAGAGGAGGGGCTGGCTTTTTGATAGTTGGGACATTCATTGTCGCCCTCCCTCGGGGTTTTTTTTTTTTTTTTTTGGAACTCTTTTATTAATCAACTTCACACAAGGCATAATAGCCTAGGCCTATTCCATATCCAGCCCCTACGGCTGCCTTATTCCATGGCCCCTTGGCATATGCTACTTCTAAAGGCCTCCCACTAGCCAACGCACCACCGGTGCATCCACCTACGCCCCCCGGCATAGTGGCAAGGGGCGCCGCCCCATAGCTCCCCTCACACCACGGGTGCGGGGCCTTGTGCGCCATGCCCTCCCATAGGGCAATTGTTTGCCATATGGCCGGGCTGGCCGCAGCGGAAACAAAGGCCCTTGAAACGGGGCTCGTGGCAGGCCGCGGGTGGCATGCCCTTGCTTTCCGGTTCGCCATCTCGAAGGGGAAGGCGGTCTCCGCGAGCGAAGCCGGTGCGCGCGCGCTTGAGGGCCGCCACGTCGACTACCGCGAGCTTGTAGGAGCGAGACGTGAGCACACTCTTGGCTTGGTACAGCTGGAAGCGATCCGCCGCCTCGAAGCCGGCTTCATCCGCCACCAATAACACCTCGAAGCGTTTGTTGACCAACGTTTCGATTTGCGCGACATTGGCGAGCGCGCCCTCGACGTCGCCGTGTTGGAGCTTGAACTCGACGTGCCTTAGGTGAGCTTGAATTGCAGAAAACACCTCCGCCTGATCACGCACTCCCTTGCGCATGAAGGTAGTAGCTGCGGGTTTGGGGTTGAGGGTAGGGAGGGGGGGGTGCGGGTGCGAGAATGCGACGGCGGGCAAGGTTGTCGGGGGCCTCACCGTCGTCATTTTCCGAGTCGTCGCTGTCGTCAGGGACACGGGCTTGGGTAGGTGCCGGAGCTGGGGCAGAAACAGGAGCGGCGTTGTTGGTGCGAGCGACCTTGGCGGAGCGGGGGGGCGCGACAAGTTCTTTTTGCTTTTCAATTTTAGCAGAAGCAGAAACGTCTTCCGTCGATGTAGCTGTAGTTGATGGTGCATGCTGCTGCAATATCGAGAGTAATGCCTGCAGCTGCTGTGTAGTCAAAGGGGGGGGGGGGGGGGTTGACCGGGGTGACGTCAGCAGAGGGTGCCGCGCGCTGGCGCTTCTGGGTCTTGGGCCCGGGTTGACTCAAGTCAGCGGCGGTCAAGACGGCTGCCGCGTCAGCGGCGGCCGTCGTCTTCTGCGCAGCACGCGCGTGCCTGCCAGGCACGCGCTCTTCAGCAGCAGCCACGCGCGACTGTTGTACAGTCGCGCGTTCCTCAGGGGGGATCCGAAGGGTGCCTCCGAGCAGGAGGTCGACCGCCGAAGGTCCCTCGCCTGAAATTTCTCCGGCCGAGCGTTTTCCGCGACGATCCGCTGTCCCGGCCGGAGTTGCGGTTTCCGCCGCGTTATTGGGGCTTGAAATGTTCGAGTTGTCGCGGTTAAGTGCCGGGTTGACCGGAGCCATCTTCGCGAGGTTGCCTGTAAGGATGTCGTGAAGGAGTGTCGACGGGGCAGTGAAGCGCGGAAGCGACTGAGTCTTCGCCAGCGTAGACGAGAACGGAAATGAAACTACAAGTAGAAATGAAAGACGTGGGTGAGGGCGAATGACCTCATGACCCTCTTTTGTAGGCAAAAGAGGGTGAGAAGCGCTTCGGCGCCACCTTTGCTGTGTTGGCCACGTACCCCCTTTCACAATACAAAATTTGAGAAAGTGTTACACTTTCAAAAATTATAAAATCCAGTGGGGTACCACCAGGCTACCAGCACAGCGCTCTGCTAGCACTCGGGTTTAGGGTTCCTAGCTAGCTAGCTACGCTACGCTACCCGTCCCAGTATAAGGCTAGAAGCTCTTTAATCAACTCCCTGGCCTGGATCAAACTGCTGACTTGGCTTGCCTCAGCAAGGGCAATCATGGTTGAATGCAGAGGCGACACACACACCGCACCGCACTGCACTACATTCTACACAACACTAAGAGCGTGTTGTGTTCCTATCTTAATTGAAAATCTCATCACTGGTGATTCGGTTTTCCATAATAGATAGTACCAGTGATCCTAATTGCTGCACTCCCCAATGGGTGTGCACTGTGCATTGTACCGTACAGCGTGGAGAGGAACAATACTACTTGCCCACAACTGCCTAACACACACGCACACGCTACCAGCCACTATTCAAGGGTACATACAACGACCTTCCACAATCCTCCACCCATCCACCCCACACCTTCCACCCATCCTCCACACACCTTCGGCCCACAATCCCCCCCTCACACACCTTGGACGCATCTCCCACCCACCTCCCTTCACTTCCCACACACCTTCCACACACTTCCTCCCCACCCACGGCCTACCCACAGAGCGCCACCTCTAAGGCCAGTCCTGGTCGTGCCCTGCGCCCCACTCTGGTCACCCGACCAGCCAACTCCACCTCTCCACCCGCCGCCAAGCATGCTGCCATGCTGCCCAACGCCTCCTCCCCTAGCTGCTGCACCCACGCCGGAACCCAGCGCAGCGCGAGCGTGACAAACGAGACTGTATACAGATGCCACTGCTGCTGCCAGTGTGTGTGTTGCATGCAGCCCAGCACTGGTAGCTTTCCGGGATATCCTGGCTGGGAGCGTGGGACAGAGAGTGTTGCCCAATGCGACAAAAAGAGCTCCTGGAGTTGCGTGCTTGCACTGGTTTGTGGGTGCAAAGAAGGGGAGTTGGCAGCGGTGGAAGGGAGTGTGGTGCAGCGGCTTGCAGTGGCAGTGGCAGCAGAGGGGTTGCCTGAGGCGAGGAGCAGGCATTTGAAAGCGAGAGACGCGAGGGCAAAGCACTGTACTTCAGACACTATGCCCTCTAGAAAGGAAGGAGGAAAAGGGCTGCTGGGTGGTGCCGTAGCAGCGGCACTGCCATCAGCAGCACCACCAGAAGCAGACGCAGCGGCGGCGGCAGCGGCGGCGGCAGCAGCAGAACCGGGGCCTGTCGGCTTGGCAGCAGAAGGGATGGATGAGGAACCGGGGAAAGCAGGCACACGGGCGATAGTGGGAGCTGTGGCAGCAGCACCAGCAGCGGTAGCGGTGGCGGCGGCAGCGGCGGCATTGACAGCCAGAGCAGCAGCAGCTGGGGAGGACGTGGAGCAGGCATGTAACCACGAGGGTATGGCTCGGCCAAGCAGATCGTCCAATCCCGCGCTGCCACCTGTCAGGTGCAGCAGCATGGCTGCTACAGTGGTCGAGGAGGAGAGAGCGGCAGCAGCGGAAGGTGTGAACCAGAGAGGTGAGGAGGAAAGGAGAGGAGGCAGGGAGGATGGCACTGGGGTAGATGCTACTCCTGCCAGCACACCGCCACCCACTCCCATCGCCATTGCCGCCGCCGCCGCTGCAGCAGCAGCAGCAGCGGCAGATGCACCCCCTCCTGCAGCTGCTCCCCCTCCTCCTCCCCCGTCCACCCCTCCGTCCCCTTGCCCCCTCATCAGCCCGCCAGCAATCCAGGCAGTAGACCCTCCCTCCCCCCGCCCCACCACCATGGCAGGAGCTTGAGTGGCCACAGCAGCAAGCACAGCATCACAAAGCAGCCCCTCCCGCCCTGCCAGCACAGCAGGGAGGCTCAGCCACACGCCTGCTGCAGCCAACCCCCCGCCTGCTGCCAAACCACCCGCGTCTGCACCAGAGGGGTTACCAGACGCACCACCACCTGCTACCCCTCCTCCTCCTCCTGCGCCTCCTGCTGCTGCTGCTCCTGCAGCTGCTGCGGAGGGATCTGTGGGGTCTAGTCCGTGCTCGGCCTTTCCACCTGCGGCTCCTGTCAGGGCTGTGTCGCGGACTTGAGGGATGGGAGGCAGGCCGAGGAGCGAGCAGGACCCGTCCAGATCACCCACACTGCCGTTGCGATGTGCTGGGAGTGAATGCACCGCTGCTGCACTGCCTCCGCCGCCGCTGCTGCCAGACTCACCTCTCGGCCTCATTGCCCCAGCACCACCACCACCACCCCCAGCACTGCTACCAGCAGCAGCAGGGGAGGAGCAAGCAGTGGCGTGTAGACGAGAAAAGGGCCACGAGGCAGAGGCGAGAGCAGCAGGGGAGAGCAGGAGGAGCAGGGGCAGGGGGGGTTCTGCAGCGCCGCGGTAGGAGAGCGCGTGCATGGCCTGGCCAGCAAGGGCAGAGAGCAAGCGAGGGTCGTGGCAGATGAGCTCTGCTATTGCTGGCTCTAACACTGCCCTGAGAGGCAGTCTAGCTGCCAGACACCCCACCCCGCTGCTGCTGCTGCTGCTGCCGCCACTGCCGGCGCTGCCGCTGCCGGTGTTGATATTGGTGGTGGTGGTGGTGGTGTTTGTGATGGTTGTGACGGTTGAATTGGCTGTGGTTGTGGGAGTGGCACTAGCTGCGGTTGTTTGCGTGGGAGCGGCAGCGGCAGAAGGGCCAGCAGCAGGAGCGCCAAGTGCTGCTGCGAGCACTGAAGCTCCCATGGAGGGAGAGGCGCGGAAGGAGGAGCGCAGGAGCAGCAGCAGGAGCAGGTGGTAGAGGGGAGAGGGACTCCCGGGAGGGGAGGCGGAGCGGGAGGAGGAAGAGGAAGAGAGGGTGGAAGAGGGAGTAGAGGGCAACTGGGTGGGGGATAATGGAGCGGAGAAGGAGGAGGCAGGGGCAGAGGTGGAGGAAGGGGTGGAGGAGCGGGAGGAGGAGCGGAGCTTGAGGTCAGAGACAAAGGAGAGGAAGAGGGCCATGGGTAGGGGGAGCGTGGGACTTGTGGCCGGGTCTGATGGCAGGGCAAGGCGCATATAGAAAGGAAGGGGGGAGGGGATAGTAGTGACAAACAAGGGAGGTTGTGAGACAGGTTCGAAAAAAGGGGGAAGGGTAAGATTAACAAGACGGGAGTGCCATGGCAAGGGAATGTGAAGGATGGAGTGCAGAAAGGGAGATGGAGTGCATGCACGTGGGGTGGGTCGCCCCATGCAATCCCACCATTACCCCCAAGCTCCGCCAGGAGCCCAGCCCAAAGCCCAACCCCAGCCCAAAGCCCAACCCCAGCCCAAAGCCCAGCCGTATGTTGACGCACCTGTGACGGGAGGCGTGTAGAGACCCATATCAAGCAGCCCGATCCTCAAGTGGTTGAGAGCGGTGCGGAGGGAAGAGGCGGGGATGGCGGCTTGGGGCCAGTCCGGGTGGGCGGAGAGGGGAATGGTGATGTGCGCCGAGGCGAGGGAGGAGGAGAGGCAGGTCGCCACGGCTGCTGCTGCTGGGGGTGCCAGAGCCACTAGGTTGGATAGAGCTGCGGGGGGAATTGGAGACAGGAGAAGGGAGAGCGGGAGGAGGGGAGGGGGAAGAAGAGGGGAGGGGGAAGAAGGGAAGAGGGGGGGGAGAGAGGGAGATAAGGAGGGAGAGAGGGGAGAGAAACGGGAGGAGATGGGGGGAAAGGAGGGGGGGGTAGAGAGTGGAGATGGAGAGAGAGAGAAAGAGAGAGCGTGCAGAGGAGGCTAGCTCGCTTTGTGTGTGACTGCACGAGTACCCTCTCACAGCATGTCTTTCCATCCAATGCGAGCTAGTGGCGGCGGTCTATCCATCCATTCACCAGACCAGACTGGCAGGCTCACCACTGGTGGCGATTTTGGGGGCAAGCTTCCCCGCAACCACAGCCTGCAGAATGGCCTCCACTGCAGCCGGTGCAGCCCGCACCACCACCCACCCTGTCAGCCCTCCCATCGCACCCCCCTCCCTGGCCCCACCACCACCACCACCACCACCAGCAGCCCCACCAGCTTCGCCACCACCACCGCCTCCTCCTCCTCCTCCTCCTGCTGCTGCTCCTGCTGCTGCTGCTGCTGCTGCTGCTGCTGTTGCTGCTGCTCCCTCTCCTGCGGCACCGCCCTGGGTGGTGTGTGCTATGCCCATGGCCCCCGGCACCACCCGTCGCAGCACCTCCCATAAGTCATGAGCACTGCACGCATTGTAGGGCACTTGAGAAGACTGCACGGGTGCTGGTGGTTGTGTAGTGCGGTGTGGTGTGAGAGTGGTGGCGGTAGTGGGGGTAGAGGTGGGGGTGGGAGAGGTGGTGGTGGTGGTGGTGGTTGGGAATGTGTTAGGGTGAGCTGGGTTGTCCAGGGTGAGGAGAGAAAGGGCGTGCGGGAGAGAAGCAGGATTTACTAGAGGTATAATAGGCGCTGCTGCTGGTGCTGCAGATGCTTCTGCTGCCGCTGCACCATTGCTCAACAACCCTACGCCACCACCATCGCCACCACCACCATGACCAGCACCAGCACCAGCACCAGCAGGAGCAGGAGCAGGAGCAGGAGCAGGAGCAGGAGCAGCAGCACCATCATTAACGGATGCTGCCTCTCTGTTAGCCATACACAGCAACAACTCCAGCGACACGTGGCATGCTCCCAAGAACGGTTGACTCAAAGCACCCCCCCCATACGCTCTGGGTCCACAAGCGGGTGCATATAATGAGGAGGGGAGAACAGAGGAGAGAGCCAAGGGATGGGAGGAGGGATGGGTTGAAGGCGGAGGGAAGGGGGAGGAACGGGAGAGTGGTATTCTCGAAAGTGGTTCGAGAGACTCCTGCACCAGCAAGAGCAGCACAGCTGCCCGGGAAAAGATGTTGTGGCTGCCTGGCAAAAGCGCAGTGGGTGTGTGTGCAGGTGCTGCTGCTGCTGCTGCTGCTGCTGCTGCTGCTGCTGCTGCTGCTCCTGCTGCTGGTGCTGTTGGGTCACGGTCCGCAGATTGGATGGGCAGGCAGCCAAAGGCCTCTGTGAGAGGCAGTAGCGCCGCTGCTACTCGGGGGAGCTGGTGGCGTGGTGGGGGAGGGGAGACGGGGTGAGCGGGCGATTTGGAAATGGAAGGCGGGTGACGGGATGGGAGGGGAGGGAAGCGAGGGAGTTGCGGGGGTGTAAGGGTGAAGGGAAGGGGAACTGGCATTTATAATGTCATGTGTTTGCTTATGGAAGGTGGTGTGGGGACATGAGGAGAGGGGGAGCATAGGAAAAAAGATGTGGGAAGTGTGGCAGGGGCCAAGAGGAGCAGAATTTTTTAGAGTCGACTCAAAACTAGAGTCGACTCAAAAGAAGATGGGGGAAGTGGCAGGGGCCAAGAGGAGCAGAAATGGCAGGGAAACCGAGACGGCAGGCATGGCATGGGATGGCATGGCAGGGAAACCCGCCTGGCCGTGCAGTCGGAGCACATGAGTAGCGGATCGCCCCAGCAGCCCTGCCAGCAGGCGATCCAGAGACGACATGGCAATGCCTGACGCTGCTGTTGCCACTGCTGCCGCCGCCGGTGCCGCCGGTGCTGCTGCTTCTCCCCCCCCGACTCCTGCTGAGGCTGGTGTAGTTGCGGAAGGCGCGTGGGCAGCAGGGGGAGGCGGGGAGGAGAGGCGAGGGGAGTCGGAGAAGAAAGGAGGCAGGGCGGCAGGTGTAGTAGAGGGGTAGACCTGCGACGCAGCTACCATGGCTGAGCGGGAGAGAGAGGAGAGGAGGTGCGTCACTAGGGATGCTGCTAGCTCCTGCGAGGGGAGGAGGGGAGGATGGGAGGTGCGGGGAAAATGAGTGGGGAGACAAAAAGAGGGGAAGTAGGAGAATGCTTCAGTGGAAAGAGAATCTTTGACCCTCTTTGACCCTCTTTGACCCCAGCTCAGCCTTCTGCTCTTCCTCAGCCCGCTATTCCTCCCTGAGCCCCGTTTCCCCCCATCGGCGCCCTCACCTCACCCTTTCTCCTTCCCTCACCGCTCACTCATCCCCCTCCTCCTCCTCTGCACCAGCGCACCTGCAGGTGCCAGCTGAGGCGCAGAGTGGCGCCGCAGAGCACAGACGCTGCAGCGGGCGCCCACGAGGACTCCGACGCTGCCAGGTGGAACGCCAGCAGCAGCTCCTCCTGACTGCCGGGGGTCGTGAGGGGGGAGAGGAGGGGAGACGGAAGAATATTGAGGTGCCTCAAAAAGCGCCCACAGGGACTCCGATGCTGCCAGGTGAAACGCCAGCAGCAGCTCCTCCTGACCGCCGGGGGTATTAGGGGAGAGAATGGGAGAGGGGGAGAGAGGAGGGGAGAGGAGGGGAGAGGAAGGGAGAGGTGGGGAGAGGAGGGTAGAGGAGGGGAGAGGAAGGGAGAGGAGGGGAGAGGACAGGAATGGTTAGGAGACGAGAGGAGAGTGCTTCACAGCAACCACTTTGTCGCACCAAGCGAGCTAGATCACAGCATACCAATAAGGCAGGAGTGTTTCAAGAGGATTCTAAATATAGAACTGAGACGTCTATGTGTTTCAAGAGAACTTTGAAAATACACACAGCTCGCCTATCTAGAGCCCGGCTGTGCCCTTCTAAGCGCTTGGTATCCGAGGCGCTGCAAGAGAGCCTACCTAGTGGCTGGGTGTGCCGAGAGGGAGGCAAAGAGCGGGAGCGAGAGAGGGCCATTGGCAGTGAAGTGAGACCACGCAGCCGATCCCCCCATGGGGGACTGGGCAGCAGCAGCCGAGGAGGCCAGGGGAGCAGAGGCAGCACCCCCAACGGCAGCGGCAGCAGATGAGGTGGAGGGCTGGGAGCAGAGGCGGAGGAGGGGGAGGCCTGAGGAGAGGAGCGGCAGGAGGGTGAAAGCGGTGGCGGAAGGGATGAGGCCGCGACGGTAGCATGCCTCCACTGTGAAATGCCAGATGGTGAGCTCTGTAATGGGTAGAGAAGGGCGGGAGGATGACAGGGTGGATGGTGTTGGGGGGAAGGGAGAAGAAGGGGGCTTGGTCTTTGCAGTGTCTCTGAAGCTGGGATGACGTCCTGGCGGCAGCATGCCTCCACTGTGTGAAATGCCAGATGGTGCGCTCCACAGGTGGGGGAAGGGGGAAGATGAGAGGGTGGGGGAGGGAGAGGGGTGGGAAGTGTGACGAAGAGGAATAAGGAGTGGCCAGGAGGGAGAGCGGGGCGGGGAGGTGGGAAGTTGGGAGGGTGGGAAGATGGGAGGTAGGAACTTGGGATGTGGGACGGAAAGGACGTGAGAGAAAGGAGAAAGAGGGAGAGAGCAACGACGGTACAGGAGCGAGTGTATGAGCACATGTGCACACGCACATGCATGTGTGCAGGAGCGCATGCACGCAAGCAGCAACAGACCTTCAGCTGAGGCGCCGAGAGCAGAGGCAGTGGCATGGGGGACAGCAAGGGGCGAGCCAGCAAGGAAGACTGGCAGGTGCAGGTGCCGGAACACACGCACTGACCCCAGCGCCCCCACCAGCCCCTCCTGCACCGCTGCCTGTGCCTTATCCACCGCTGCCGCTGCCGCCGCTGCTGCCGCCGCTGCTGCCGCTGCTGCTGATGATGATGATGATGCAAGGGTGGCGGCGGTGCTGATGGCATGGGGATCGCTGCTTGCAGCCGCGGTTGCAAAAGGCAATCCCTCCTCCTGGTCCTCATCCTCTTCCCCTTCATCCCCTGCCTCCTCCCTCCCCTCCAGTTCCATCCCCTCGTAATCCAATGTCATCACATCCTCTTCCTCCTCCTCATCCTCCTCCTCCTCATCCTTCCCTCCACCCCTCCCATCCCCCCCTTCCCCCTCCGCCATCCCGTCCATCCCCTGCCACGACCGTTTCCTCTTCCCTTGTACCATTCCTCCCTTTCCTGCACCTCTTTTTCGACCACCTGCTCCCCCTAACTGCCCCACAGCCCTACCATCCCTCCCCTTTCCTCTCTTCCGCCTGGCTGCACCCATGCCGCCTCCTCCTCCTCCTTCCCCCATGCGCACCTTCTTCTCACACAGCTGCAGCAAGCTGGCAACGGCCATAGGGCCCAGGCACAGGCAGAGGGACAAGCGCCCATCCTCGTCTGATAAGTCGTAGGGGGTGGGCGGGGAGGGCGAAGCAGGAGAAAGGGGAGAGGTCGTCGCAGCAGCAGCAGCAGAACAAGGGTCTTGGGATGTGAGGGAGGGAGCAGATGGAGAGGAGGAGGAGGATGAAGGGCCGGCAGGGATGGAGCTTGCCTGGGGGGATGGGGAGGGAGGGAGGGCGGGAGGGAGGGAGGGCAGGAGAGAGGATGAGAGCGATGCAAAAGAGAAAAAAGAGGATGCGCGTAGGATGCCAATTTGAGCACATGGAAAGAGAGAGGCAAACGAAGGGCGACTAGCCAGAGAGAGGTAGCTACAGAGGAAGAGTAAGCGGGAAGGAGACGGCGAGAGTGGCGCAGGGCGTTACAACTGAATTGGTAATGCAACTGAATCATAAGACAATGTTAAAGCGAGGGCACACACGGAACAGGTGTGTGATGTGACGGGGGGAGGGCGTGTGGCAGACGGGCGGGCGGGCGGGCACGTAGGCAGGCAGGAAGGGGTGTTGTTACGGACAGAGGAGGGGGAGCGAGCGACGAGGCGGAAGAGGGAGAGGAAGAGGTGCAGCAGGCACTCGTGCCATGACGCCCCATGCACCTGCTTCACTGTCAGCAGCACCTCTGATGAACGTGGGGGAAAGGGGGAGAAGGGGAAAAGTGAGAGAGGGGAGTAAGGGGATGGGGGGGAATGACTGGAAAACAGGGGGTGGAAGCAAGAACGAGCAGTAGGAGAGGAACGGACGAGGATATGAGAAAACATCACTCTATTTTCCCCTCTCTCACTACTTGACAGATATCCTTCCTTCCAACATCCCTACCATATCCCTCATACATCCCTTCAGCCCTCCTGTCCTCCCCACTGCACCCCCGTATCACATTCTCTCTCCACCTCACCCCGTTCCCACTCCCAACCACTCCCACTCCTTACCCCCCTCCCTTCTCTCCACCACCCACCAGCAATACTCTCGGGCAGAGCCCTAGAGCCGTCATCACTCCAGCAGCACCCCACCAGCAGAGGAGGCGCCAGCACACCCGCACCACTGGCCTCACCACCGCTGCTGCTTGCAGGGCTGCGGGCGGCTATGGTGGTGGGCGCGGCAGGGACTCTCTTGCTGGTGACGAAGGCCTCTAGAAGCAGATCCAGGGCCTGCCAGGGCGATGGGGATGGCAGTGCTGCACAGGGCGACGCTGGTAATGCCCGTGATGGCTGCTGCTGCTGCTGTGCACGTGCTGCTGCTGCTGCTGCTGCTGCTGCTGATGCAGTAGCTGCTGCTGGTGATTGGGAGGATGCTGCTGCTGCTGGTGGTGCTGATGGTAGTCGTTTTCGTGGTGCTGTTGCTGCGCTCATGGATTGCAAGAGGAGCGGCAGGAGGGAAGTAGAGGAGGACTGGAGGAGAGTGGAGCTGGGACGGGCACTTAAAGAGCTTCTTGCTCCGCCCCTTGCAGACACTGCCGCCACAGCCGCCGCTGCTGCAGCTGCTGCTGCTGCTGCTGCTCTTGTTGCTGCGGGTGATGCTGCTGCTGCGCTGACAACAGCTGAGCCTGCACCAGAAGCGCCCTCCCTTAACCCCCCTCCAAGGAGGCCCTGCCCCACACCAGCAGCAGTGCCACTCCCTGCCGCCTTGCTGCCCTCCATTCCACCACCTCTCCCTTCCCGCGCTTCCTTTCCCAGTGCTCTTCCCCGCCGCACCAGCGTTTGAACCTTGCATGCTCGTGCCAGCAGTAGCGAGGCAGAGGCGGATTCAGAAGCAGGGAAGAGGTGCAGTGTGAAGGGTGGGAGGGCGAAGTAGGAAGGGAGGGAAGGTGGAGGAGTGGCGGGTGGCGGGGAAAGGAGGGAGTGGTGGGGAATGGCAGGGGAAGAAGAGATGGTGGAAGCTAGACGGTTGGTGAGGGAGGTGAGGGAGAGGAAGCGGTTAAACATAAGAGGCCTGCAGTGGATGGGATGGGATGGGATGAGGAAGAGGAAGAGGAACAACGCGTGGAATTTTTGAGACGTCCCAAGAAAGGAAGCCGTTGGGATGGGATGAGTTTTAATTGTGGGGAAGAGGAATGACAGGGGGAATGGGAGAGGCGAGAGGGGGGGAGCGGGAGATGGGGACGGGGCCGCGGGTGGAGTTTATTGGAGCATTTGGGGGTCATGAGCTGAGTATTTTGATATGGTAGGGCGGCTTGCGAATGAACCTTTGATGATTGAAACATGCGGAGGGGGAGGAGGAGCTGTGCTAGCATGGCTGTGCTGCACGGTCTATTGCTGCACGGTCTATTGCTGCACGGTCTATTGCTGCATGGTCTATTGCTGTTCCTGGAGAAGGTGGGTTTCAAGTCCTGAGTGTAAGTTTTCTGGTTGAGCGTGGAAAAGTAGGTAGGCAGGGAGGGACTAGTGCCGTTGTGGAAGCGTCTGCATATGTGTCAGTGTCACGGTATGTCTCTCTGAAGGAGAGAGGGGCCTGAATCCCCCAACCTGCGTTTCCTTTGCAGACGAGATACAGGTACAGATAGATACCCGCCCGCACCGCAAACACGAACATAGCACGAGCAGGGATGCAGTGGGAGAGAGAGGAGGGGAGGGGAGGGGAGGGGAGGGGAGAAGAGGGGAGGGGAGAAGAGGGGAGGGGAGCAGGAAGAAAGAGTGGGTGCAAGGGGAGAGGCGTACATGTGAGAGGGCGCAACTTGCAGCAGGCAGATGCTCCACTGAGTCTCTTGCAGCAGGGCCGCCAGCACATGCAGTGACAGCAGCACGTTCTCTCTCACGGACCCCCACTGCGCCTCCCCCCACCTGCTCACATCCACCACTGCATTCTCCTCCCTCGCTCTGCCACCACCAGCAGCACCAACACCAGTGCCAGCAGCAGTAGCAGCCGCAGCAGCACCAGGCGGATTGATGGTGGTGGCGCCAGGCGCAGTAGAAACATGTCCGCCAGCTGCAGTTGCAGCAGCTGCAGTTGCAGCAGCAGCTGCTGCAGCAGCAGGAGCATCTGCAGGAGCAGCAGCAGCAGCAGCAGCAGCATCTGCAGGAGCATCTGCAGGAGCATCTGCAGGAGCGCAAGCAGCATCACCTACACCATCAACCGCCATAGCTGTCACACCATCCCCTCCACCATCACCAATGCCACCACCATCACCAATGCCACCACCACCACCCGCACCAGTCCCATGTAGTGCCAATCCCTGACCAGCCCCACCTGCTCCCTCACTCCGCAACCCTTCCAATCCGTCCACCCTCTCACCGCCACCACCATCACCCTCTCCTGCTGCCGCCTTCCCTCCCTGCTGCTCCCCACCAGCTATGCTGCGCAGCTTGCGGCCAGACAGGTCGTCTAGCACAGCCCGTAGCAGCGAGCTCGCGAGCCAGAGCGCAAAGCGCCCTACTAGGTCGGATAAGCTGCCCCTGCCGCTGCCACTACCCCTGCCCCTGCTGCTGCTGTGGCGCTTGGTGAGTGAGTGCGGAGGAGGAGAGAGGGCGGAGGAGAGGTAGGAGTGGAATCTGGGTGTGTATTAGGGGGTAGTGGTGGGGGGAGGAGAAGAGTGGGAGTGAGTATGTGTTGACACGCTAGTGGAGTGGAGTGAGATGAGGTGGGGCATGAGCGATGAGAAGGAATGACAGTGACAGGAGTTGAGAAGGAAACGACATTAGGTTGAGTTGGAGGAGTGCGCGGGTGCTGTGGATAGAGAGGAGGAACGAGACGAAATGCAATGGGGATGGGGCTATCAGAGAGAGGTTTAAGAGGAGGAGGAGGAGGAGGAGAATCAGGAGGGGAGGAGCAGGCTTACAGGGGCAAGGGCGGCCATTGAGAGGGGGCCCAGAGGAGAGGAGGGGAGTCGGAGAGGAGCGAGAGGAAGCGATGGAAGGATGATGGGCGCCGCCAGCGATGCTGAATGGTGCTGTGCGGTGGGGTGGGGAGAAGGAGAAGCACAGATGGCACCCACACACAGGCGGTCACACCCACTCACGCATGCGCACACACACACACACACAGACACACACACACACACACACGCACACACAAAACGCGTGCAGTCATGAGAGCCGAGTACACGACATTAGCACATGACAAACCGCGTGGCCAAAGCAAAGGAACTCGCTACGAGGAGCAGAATACGGCCCAGAGAGGAACGAACGAACGGCCCAGGAGCAGCAACCAACACTTGTGGAAGGACACATGTCAGCCAGCCACGTGAAATGGCACACGTGTGAGGGTGGGCAGTGGGCAGTGGGCAGTGGGCAGTGGGCAGTGGGCAGTGGGCAGTGGGCAGTGGGCAGTGGTCACTTCACTGGTGTGGTGTACCTGCGAGCGAGGAGTGCGACGATGTGCAGCGGCACCACCAGATGGCACGCCATGCCATGCTCCACGTACTGCCATACCCGCGCCTCCTCCTCCTCCGCTCGCGACCTCTCTCTCTCCCTCTCCTCCTCCTCTTCCTCCTCTTCTCCCTCGTCGTTCCGCTTTTCTCCCCGTTTCCCATCTCTCCACCTCTCCTCCGCTCCCCAACTCCTCCGCTGCACGGCTCGCCCTTCCTCCCCGCCATTTGCGCTTATCCGCTCTCTTTCCGTACCACTTCCGCCGACTCCGCCCGTTCCGCCGCCGTCCGCTCCCCTCGTTCCCCCCGCCGGGCCCGCGGAAGCTCGCGGGGCAGCGTTGCGCGCAGCGCTGTCTGCGCAGAGGCTCAGCGCTTCCGCCAGTGCTTCCGCTAGGTCGAGTGACGGCAGCGGGTGGCCCCGTGATTTGAGGGCCAGCGACACGTCAGCACCCCATGTGAGCGACGAGGCGCGAGACGCGGCGGCGCGTCTGGTGATGACCAGCAGAACGCGTGCGATAGAGGCCGGCTGGCTGGGACCGCCCATGACGCCGACGAATGCCGCGTATGGACTCTCAATGGCGGAACGGAAAGCGAAGCGCAAGAAGAGGAATGAAAAGCGGAAACAATGTTCTCACTGGCGTTGATGATGGAATGGTAGGAATCTGGCGGAATGTGATGGGATGTCGGTGTGGTGTGGTGTGGTGTGGAGGTGGATACTGCCAACAAAGCCATTCTGAAGCTCCGAAAGTTGGAGGGAAAAACTGATGTGCTCGGAAACCTTGTATCGCGGATTTGTATCGTGAGAGTGTTCAGAAGGAATCATTCCTGAAAGCACTCTAGAAAAGACATGATATACACGATACAACTGTACACCTCTACAGCTGATAGCATGATACTCATCCAATTAATGAGTCGTTCTTCCATATCTACAAACCATGTACTTTATGCGATATTATGATATATCCTCCGATGCATCATCCTTTTCATCATTACTCCGCCTTGCTTTGCTTGCCCGCAAACCACGGCACCCACACTGACGTCCGTGCACAATATGCTTCAAACAACGCCTGCCGCTCCACCTTACCCCTCATCCTCTTCTCCACCAGCACCGTCACCGCAACCATGCAGAGCGAATTCACCACCGTGCCCACGACCGTCCAACCCTTCCCCGCATTCCACCCAAACAGCGCCAGCGCCCACCAGAAAAGCTGCTCTCCGAAATAATTCGGGTGGCGGGAGTAGCGCCAGATGCCCGAGTCAAGCAGCAGAACCGGGGGCTTGCCTGCGGCTCTCAGGCGTTCGTTGTTAGTCATGAAAGCATGTAGTTGAGTGTCGGCTACTGTTGCAGTGAGGATGCCTGTGAGGGCGAGAGCGGCTGCGAGGAGGTCGAGAGGGGAGAAGGGAGTGGAGGAGGCGTGCACTGCGTAGAGAGGCAGGGTGAGACCCACCAGGAGGACCTATGGTGGTGGGACAGAGGGAGGAAATGGTGCAGTGGAGAATGGGAAGGAGGACAATGAGAAGGGAAGGATCGGAAGGAGAAGGGATGGAAAGCTGAACCAAATGAGGGTAGCAAGGAAAGGTACCATCTAACTCAACCTCCAACTCACAGCCAGAGCGATAAAGAGCGCAAACAGAACTGTACTGCCCAGCGACTCACGTGTTGGAAGACATAGACGAGCAGGAAGGAGAGCCACCACCAGTGGCGGCCGTACTGCCTGCGCATGTCGCTGAACCGCCAGTCCTCCCGCCATCCCCACCGCCACCGCTCGCGCCGCAGGTACGAGTGCGTGAGGCGCGCGCTCCACAGCAGCACCAGCGCGCGCACGAGCAACGCGCGCGCACGGCAGGCGGAGGCGGCGGGATGCGCGGCGTAGAACTCGAGGATGAGCGGCGGGATGAAGGTCCAGTACGGGTCGATCAACTGGCAGAGAGGGAAGAAGGGCGGAGGGAGGAAGGGAGGAGGGAAGGGGAGGAGTGGGGTAGGAAGGATGGGATGGAGTTGGACGGAAGACGGGAAGTGAGGAATGTATGGGGCTGAAAAGTGTTCACTCGGAAAAGGCTTAAGAGGTGACGTAAATAGGACTCTTTCGATGAGTGCGGAAGCTGGAGACGGGATGGACAACCGTACGTGACACGCGGCGAGCACGCACCCACGTGGAGCCTTGCAACAGGCTGATGATCCAGAACAGAAGGTCCACATTCGCCGCAAACAGCGCGCACACGCACCCGATTGGCCGTCGAACTCCCCACGCCACCACGCGCCACCACCACTCCGGGCTCCTCCCGCCGGTCGCATCAGCGGCGGCGGCGGCGACGGCGGTGAAGTCGATGTTGGGAGGCGAGGTGGAGTGGGAGAATGTGGCGGGTGGGAGGTATTTTGAATCGGCGATGAATCTGTGCGATATGAGGAGCGACGGAAGAACGACAGCTAGTGCGAGGACGAAATTGGCGACGCTCTTGTGCAGTGGGTAATGCGTGTCGGGAGAACCCGCCATGGTCGTGTGCGGAGGCGAATGTGTGGATAAGGTGATGAATTTGATTTTGCTCGAATGGAAAATGTGCTTGTGGTTCAGTCAAAAAAATGTGGCTATGTACGTATGTCTCCAATTTCACGTGGCAGGTTTCAACTCAGACGTTGCGTGTTTTATGTACCCAGCAATTGCAGCTTACACAGTATATCGAGGACCTTATTTGAGGAGGATTTGAAGCTCCTCATTCAATTTTTGACACGTCATACACACTTTCGTCACCTGTATGGTTCTCGAGCGCCACGTCATTTCGCGTTTTACAGTACCTCACCCACACACATGCATCGATTTCCTTACAATACACATCCCCCAATCTACACTTCAGCAGCTAAATTCGCCCCCAGAAGCGTCTCTGTGAGTGTTTCTCACAAGATATCTTGCCTCGAGAATACCTACCGACACTCAGTAGTACTGCACATTCCTGGTCTTCTCTGCACCTCGTGTTGCGCCCGTTAATCATGGCCACGATATCAATTGCCTCTTCTTCTCTAGCTCTAACTCAGTCCGCCTCCCTCGTCGATCGCTCCACTCCCGCTCACTCGCTCGCGTCGTCGCAGCAAAAATCGAGGGGCATCGCAGTAAGCGTCGCCGTGTGTCACATGGGGCAATCGGGAAGTCGTGCGGGCGTCGCTGTCGCCGCATCCCGCGGCGAGGAAGGTACGAGTAGCTGCAGCATTAAGCGTCCGTTCCTGATTATTCAATACAACAGGAAACGGAAACGAGAACTTTGACTGAAACGGAAACGGAACGGAAATGGTAACCACACAAGCGGGTGCGTGTAGACCGGGACAAAACCAGATTTTGTTCCCACTTCGAATTATTCACTCTGTATCCTCGTCGCGCCCTGGCCCGCAAATCTCTCTCATGCTCTCCCCGCCTCTCGCACCTCTCCTCCCACTCTCACTCTTCCGACTCCTCTCTGGCATGGTGTGTCCCCCGTGGCGGCGCAGTGAAGGCGGTGCAGGTGGATAAGGCGGAGCTGCGGAAGCGGCTGTCGCAGCAGGAGTACCACGTGACGCAGGAGAAGGGCACGGAGCGCGCCTTCACCGGGTGAGCTGTGAGCTAGCGCCGCGCACCCCTGTGCCTGCGGTTTCATGTCTCAGGAGGATGGCTTGCATGTATGGTGTGGCTTGCGTCTTTCACAACCATGCGAAAGGAAACCTTTTTCTACAATTTGCCCCCTCGACTGCTGCTGCTGTGTCGTGAGCAGCAAGTACTGGGATGACAAGCGCAAGGGCACGTACCACTGCATCTGCTGCGACACCCCGCTCTTCAGGTGCCCCCGCCTCGCTCCCGTGCCCCACCTTTTTAATCACCCCTACTGTCTCCTTCCCCATCTTCCTCCTACACCCCCCCCCCCCCCCTCTCCCCCGCTCCCGCCCACCTCCTCTCTCCCTTACCCCGCTCGTTGTTATCGCACTGCATTCACTCTCCTCGGTGCACCTTACCCCTAATCTTCCATTCCCTCCTTGATCCTCCTTTGCTTTTTGTCTGATTTCCTATTTTCTGTGTCATTCCGCTGTGTTTACTACCTGAATCTTACGCCGCCCTTTTCCTGACTCCTGTCCCCCTGGTCAGTTCAAGCACCAAGTTTGACAGTGGCACGGGGTGGCCATCATTCTACGACCAGATAGGCAGCAACGTGAAGCAGGAGACGGACTGGTCCATCCCCTTCATGCCACGTGTGGAGGTGCTCTGTGCTGCCTGTAACGCTCACCTTGGCCACGTGTTCCCAGATGGCCCTCCTCCCACCCGTCAACGATACTGCATTAACAGGTAACAAAATATAATCCTCATTTCACTCTTTTTGGCTGCCTCTGCCAATACCACTCTTATTTGCTACTTTCAATGCACATTAGATCTTTGATCCTACACATACTAACACTTTCCTCCTGTTGCCTACTGCCGCTGTCACCTGCTGCTATACAGTGCATCGCTTCGTCTGGATGCAAGTGCGTAGTGTGACGAAGTTTTTGACAGCCAGGGTACCATTTGTTTCGTAGCGTTGGAACGATAAGCTAGTCCCATCTACAACGAAGTGGAACGATATACAAAAAATGTGTAATTCGACTCACCGTCTCGAACCGATCTCTTTGTCAGTACATCCATTGTCAGATTCTTGAGGCTCGGTTGATCCAGCTTACAGAAAAGCCTGAAATAGGATGGTGAGGACTGGTTCAGCAAACTGACCAGCCTTAAGGTCTTTGCTTAGTCATTAAGGTGGTTTAGAAGACCTGGACTAAAATAATATTCCATATAGTACTTGTATTTTCAGAATGCTCGTTTCAATGTCTACATAACTCTATTTTGTTCTGGCTGGTGTACCTGCTCGGAGGAACCATTTTTGGCGATCAGATCAGCACAATTCTTCGCGGATCAGAGGGGCCAGTGGGTGTCAGAAGTAATTCTTCTTGGCCAAATCAGCAACGAGTAACAGCAGAGGTGCGATAAAGGGAGCTTTCGCAATCTTCGCGCATTTTACCCAGCCCTTAGTCATAGCCAGACAAGAGTCAGAAAGTGGATCAGCCAAACCTCAAGATCTCAACCGCAGCTGCTTGCCTAGATTCTTTATCCACGGCTGGGATTCACTTCGCTCCTATTGGTTGGAACAAGAGCTCCGAATTCAAACCATTGGTCTTGCCGCGTTCCAATCTGACACGATGATTCTGCGGCTCCGGATGAGAGGGCAATCGACGGTTCCTAGGTCACGGAGTCCAACGTTCACCAGCGAAATCCCGCAGCTCCCGCCTTTGTCAACGGAATCTCGCTGGAAAAAAGTCGGTGTCGTTTGTCTTGCGTAGCCGGTGAGGTGTCGGTGTCTTTTTCTTCCCTGACCGGCAAGGGATTCATGTGCCACGCGGACGATTTTCAACCAGTCACCGATGTGGACTCTCGAATCTCCCTGTTATGGACAAAAAAAAAAAGGCTGACCGGACCAACCATTCGCATCCATCGTCACTTTTCCTCGCGACCCAACACAGCCGATTAGCCTGTAGACCAATGCGGAGCTTGCTAGGGTTGCCGTGACGAAACACGCAGAAGGTCCGAACCTACGGCTGAGATCTGAGTTACCGAGAGAGTTCCAGACACTTCAGTGATTCTGGACGGTAGATCTGAAAAGTGTTGGTGTAAGGAGAGGAGAGGAGAGGCAGTTGGTGACCCCTCCGCCTCATTCCAGCGTCACTGTCGTCTATCGCCTCATTCTCGCCTGAGCCTCGGATTTCACAGCGCGTTCGCCTCTTGCTCTTATTTTTTCACGCTCACCATCTTCTGCTCGCTTTCTTAGAGCTGCTGCATCTGCGAAAAGGAGAGCCGCTAGCGATGCTCGTTCGCAACACATGCTGAGGCCTTCTGCTTCAGGTCTGGCTTTATTGTAGAATCTTAGGCATTCGCAATACAAGCTGGAGTCATTCTGCTTCAAATCTGGCTTTTATGGGAGCTTCGTTACGGGAGGAGAAAATCGGGTGTTGGCGTTATGAAGGCTGGAAGCGTGTGCGTGTACGTGACCAGCAGCTTTGGCGATTTCTGCGATCACGATTCACCATGGAAGAGCAAGTGCGGGGATGGCGATTCTTGAATACAAGGTAAATTTGAGTGCCTGTGCTTATTTTTCTCGTATCCGCGTCTCAATTGATCCCGCTAGCAGTCTAGGTTTCTTAAATTCTTGCATCAGTTAATCCTCCATCCTTCTTTGCGTCACATATCAGTTAATGGTGTGATATGCTTTCGTTTTAGCACACGCGATTTTGTTCTGTGGCGCGCCTGACGTGACGACTGCATGCTGGTTGCAATTTGCATGTTCGGTCCGTCCGAGGCGAAATGTCACTCCAACCACCCACGCCATCTGGGTGTCCGTGCAATTTCGGCGAGTATGTGCGAGTTCAGGTATTCCCGAAAGCCACACCCATTCAATTTCGCAAATCGATTTCCCGATTTGTTTTCTGTTTGCCACGTGTCTCAATTTCGCTTTTCCGGAAAACGTGTTCACCAATCAAATCAGTTGTCACGTTGCAGAATCCCGTTTCTATTCCGCGAGCAGATTCCGAAATTAAGTTTCATTCGCATATTGATTTAGTATCGCAGTACGTTTCGCGAGCTACTTCCCTGACGCACGCTGTAACCGCGTCTCTCCACCCGCCACTGCAGGCCGCCGTGCGCCACGCCAGGCCGCCGTGCGCCACGCCGTTCCCACCCCCCGGGACGGGTGCGAAGCTGCTGGGCGCCTCAACCACTCTCGCCACCTGCGATTTCGGCCGCACACGCAGCGCTCTCTGCTCCTCCCACCCCACACGCAGCGCTCTCTGCTCCTCCCACCCCACACGCAGCGCTCTCTGCTGGGTGCCTCAAGCACTCTGCAGCTGCTGCTCCACGCGGGGACATGGAGTGCACAGGCAGCAGCTGCTCTCCCCCCAACCCACCCACAGCTAAGCTAAGTACCCCGCCCTGCCTCGCTCCTCGTACTTGTGTTGGCTTTCACGTCTCGCTTGCATGATACATCAAACTCCCTTCTTTACTGCCGTCTGTCGCACTCAAGAGACCTCCCTCCCCCAAGGTAGCAAGGTAGCAGGTACGTGCTCAGGTATTTGGTTTAGTGAGTTTCAACTGGTATGAGGTCTCTTGGGTGTGCCACTGCAGCAGTCAATTCATTCTCACATCATATCTTCTCTCTCTGCTCTCACTTCACTCACTTGTCCTTGGTTCTTTCCTCACTGCCCTCCCCACTCCTCGATTCCCGTCCTCTCCTCCCTTCTCTCTGTCCTGATCTCCTATCTCTCGTCCCAGCAGGTTGCTCACACGGGAGTGGCAGTGGCGGGGGACATGGAGTGCACAGGCAGCAGCTGCTCTCCACCCAACCCACCCACAGCTAAGTACCCCGCCCTTCCTGTCTTCTCCCAACCCTCGCACTCTGTTGCTTTGCTTGTCATGCTTGCACCATGCATTACACTCCCTTTTTCACTGCTCGTTGT